CTGACTATTCTGCAGTCAGTACACCACGGCACTTTCAGTAATTCACAGTGGGAAATAAATAAATAAACACACACAATGTGCATACACACGCACACACACAAACGCACACACACACACACATATATATATACACACACACACACACACACACATAGCCTCCACCTCAGGCTTGCTGCAGAGATTTTAAAACCTCCTTCGGGGAGGATAACCTGGAACGTCTCATGTTTCTTGACTCCCGAGTGGCGCAGTGGTCTAAGGCACTGCATCGCAGTGCTAGCTGTGCCAGTAGAGATCCTGGTTCGAGTTCAGGCTCTGTCGCAGCTGGCCGCGACCGGGAGACCCATGGGCGGTGCGCAATTGGTCCAAGGTAGGGGAGGGTTTGGCCGGCAGGGATGTTGGGTTCGTTTCCCACGGGTGGCCAGTATTAAAAATTAAAACATGTATGCATTCACTAACTGTAAGTCGCTCTGGATAAGAGCGTCTGCTAAATGACCTAAATGTTTCAACCCCTTTCCACCTGGGAGCATAACCTGGAACGTGTCATGTTTCCACCCCTTCCACCTGGGAGCATGACCTGGAACGTCTCATGTTTCAACCCCTTCCCCCTGGGAGCATAACCTGGAACGTCTCATGTTTCAACCCTTTCCCCCTGGGAGCATAACCTGGAAGAACTCGGTGTGTTTTCCAAGGATTCCTGCTGAATCTTTCATGACAAAAGTTGTTTTCCCCCCTGCTGTGACGACCCCCCCCCACCTTACTGGAGTTCAAGTGAAATGCAATTTCTTTATTTCCTCCATGGGATTTCAGGGCCAATATACATCTATTTATTTCCCTTCAGCTAGTTTACATAGACACACCACTGGCTTGGTGCATAGCGGTAGCAGCTCAGCTAGTTACCACCAGGGGGCTTTTCAGACTCTCTGGGGATCTCCGGCAGCAGTATCCCTCTGAAAAGTTATTAATGGTCTTAATTCTGGTGCAGCGCTAAAGAATATCCAAACTAAACTAAACACGAAAGACCCACTGAATATTCATTGAATCTACCAACATACCTTTTTTTTTTTTACAAACATACAGTAAAATACAAGCGATAGACACAGCTGTAATATTTGTAGGTAACTAACGTAGGAGAAAACCTATAGTATGAACTGCCTCTTTCTATCGGGTTAACGGAGCAATTGGAAATTGTTTGTCTTGGTGTTGACAAGGTCATCCATCCATCCACTGCCAAGGTTCTTGTCTTGTAACAGACTCCTCCTGTACATTGTGAACTGAAGGCCCTGCAGCGGTGGAAGTTATTTATGCATCCCAAATGGCACCCTACTTTTGATCAGATCCCTAAGGGCCCTGGTGAAAATTAGTGCACTACATAGGGAATAGGGTGCCATCTGAGACTCAACCTGTTTGTAGTGAAGTAACTGTGAAGGCCAAGCCCCCTGCAGCAGTGTCCCTGTTTGTAGCGAAGTCACTGTCAAGGCCAAGCCCCCTGCAGCAGTGCAAAAGACATAAAACAACAGATTGTCTTTTAGTGGAACACCAATTACATTCACCACTGGAGTTTCTCCAGTCTGCTGGTCTGTTACTAGGGAAAGAACACAATGCTTTGGGTTCCTCCTGCTTCTAAATGCTGTTTGGCATGATTTCATCAGCTCATATTTTTTCAGCTTTTGAAGATGTCTAGTCTTGCATTGTTTGTTGGGAGCACTTCTGTAAAATACATTGCAGACTAATAGGTAGCCGGGTGGCTAACACTATTGTTATAACAAAGTCATGTTTATATTATGAACGCTATTGCTTAAATACTGTACTTGTGTCTGACAAGCATCAATAAAACATACATGGCTATAGACTGACATCTAGTGAGCATAAATGGATAGTATTCACGTGTAGCTCTGTTGGTTGAGCATGGCGCGTGCAACGCCAGGGGTTGTGGGTTCGATTCCCACGGGGGGGCCGGTATGAAAATGTATGCACTCGCTCAAACTGTAAGTCGCTCTGTATTAGAGCGTCTGCTAAATGACTAAAATGTGTTCTAAAGATGGTATTTTACCAACATTGTAGTAGGAATCAGATTTGAGACTCGCACAAGTAGCTTTGGCGCCATCTAGTGGCTGTATATGGAACGTCATCACATCTTTAACAGGCCAGGAACATTATGTACACATCCCTCCTACAGCTGAGGGATGATTGGCCCCTTCAAGCTAAGGTTAGGTATGATTGGTTCGGTTGTTGGGAGTGTGACAGTGGTCAGATTAACTCCGTTTTGGGTTGAACATGTCCACTGACATTTGTTGTGGGGCCCAAACGCCGGACCTCTTCTCCTATTTCATCTTCTATAACCACACAATCAAACACAGCCTGAAACCCTCCGTGGTGCACTCATACAGAGGCGTAACTGTGTCCCTCCACCACAGAGAAACAGTGAATGTTGTGCCTCAGTCACACTCTGGTTGAATACTCGCTGCATTGCTCCAGCTGCTCCCCTGTAAACGTGGTAAAAGGGTGTTAAAGCAAGAAGTAGCGTAGCCTGTAGTCCAAGGCTGTTCCATTCCACTCCTGTAGGGCCAAAACACTTCTGGCTTTTGTTTTTACCCGGTAGTTAATTGCACTCACCTGGTGTCTCAGGTCTGAATTAGTCCCTTATTAGGAGAGGATGAAAAACTGAAATGTTTGGGCCATCCAGGACCAACATTGAACAGCCCTGCGTATATTTTATATTTTATTTAACCTTTATTTAACTAGGCAAGGCTATGATAAGCAAGGTTACTATAGTATAAAAAACCCTCACCCACCAAAAGTCACTGTGAGACGAGACAACGTGACAATATGACACTTTGACATTGATATGGCAACGGTAACTATGAACACAACTCTGCTATGACTCACTCCAGGATGTCATCCTGAACTTTCACCCAAAACTTGATCTTGTGTCTAGCCCTCAAATCAATCGTTTCAACCAAAGTACTGTATCTATTGACCAGATCTTCCAATCATATACAGTTTTTTTTTTTTTACACAAGGGAATAAAAACATGACATAAACAAAAGCATATAGTGTCATTTTAGTACAATGTCTCATAACGTCCCTATTGTTCCTCTAGACCAGGGCAGCCCAACTCTCTTCCTAGAGATCTACCTTCCTGTGGGTTTTCAGCCCAACCCACTTCCTGGAGATCTACTGTCCTGTAGGTTTTCAGCCCAACCCTAATTTAACATATCTGGTTCAGCTAGTTAAGGTCCTGTTGAGCAGCTAATAAGTAGAATCAGGTGTGTTAAATTAGGGTTGGACTGAAAACCCACAGGACAGTAGATCTCCAGGAAGAGGGTTGGGCAGCCCTGCCCTAGACCCTACATCCTCTGGGGGGGAAGTGGGCGCAACAATCCCACTGGCGCAGCAGCTGTACAGCCTATATAACATGGCCCAGTATGAGGATGGGTAAAGGTTTCCTAAAGCCCCGTGGCCATGCCATCTGACCACTAGCATTGAACTTTGGATGTTGTGTTTTAACCGTGTTAAATGTCAAACCAGTTATCAACTACACACAGCAGGCTACATATTGACATTGTGTGTGTCACCAGGGCCAGCCACGAGTGGGATAGCCGTCTCTCTCTCTCTTTCTCACACACACAGTTCCCCTGCTCAGACGTTGCACGAATCAACCAATGGTTGCGTGCCACGTCATTGTCTGTGCCATCGACTGACAGATTGCTATAACATATGATGTGGTTAGCTGATAGGTAAAATACCTATCCAGGCGTTGTAAGATTTGGCAGCCATCAGCATCGCCTGGGCAGAGGATCATGCCCACACTTCCTCTCTCTCTCTCCCTCTCTCTCCCTCTCCCTCTCTCCTCTCTCTCTCTCTCTCTCTCTCTCTCCCTCTCTCTCTCTCTCTCTCTCTCTCAATTTCAACTCAATTCAATTCAAGGGGCTATATTGGCATGGGAAACATATGTTTACATTGCCAAATCAAGTTAAATAGATAATAAACAAAAGTGAAATAAGAATAGAGACATTTCAAATGTCATATTATGTCTATACAGTGTTGTAACGATGTCTCTCTCTCTCTCCTCCTCTCTCTCTCTCTCTCTTAATGTTATTTTGGCATTGCCATTTGAAACAACAACAATGAATGCTTTTTAGTAATAACATATATTGTGATTATGTCCAATTATGAAACTGATTTGCTTCTCATAACATCTGTCCTCACATTATGGAAAGAAAATGTGTAATTCCTAATACAAAAGAAACATTTAAGTTGTTGTTTGGTCATGTTGTCATCTGCTGCGTGTGTTTCATCATCATCAATCTGAACCATGCGCTACAAGCCGCAGGCTGTCCCTTTAAAGGCCACGCTTTTACAGAAAGCAGCTGCATGAGGCAACATTGCGCAATCCTCGCATGCCGCACATGAGCGAATCCATCCCAACCGTGTCAGCACATTCGGGACGAAAGGGGCTCGTTTCAACCGTGGTAAGATAACGCACGCAGATGCACTGTCCACAGACCACCGGCTATAGCTTTAAAACGCCCTTATTTACGTACAACTAACTTTTATATTTTCTTCCACATGGATGGATGACTCAATATCACTTTGTCGCCTCCTCTGAATGATTGACATCTCACCAGATCGGTTCCTCAACAGTCAAAGTCTGGTTATGAGGTAAGGGGGAAATCCCGTGCGTCAAGATAGCAGCCCCCGAAGACCCCCCCTTTTTTAACCAGATGATTATTCATGCGTAATTGTTCTCTCCCCTCCCCTATTCCGCGCATCCGAATCGGCAGTTCTGCACCTTATCGATACGGAAAGCCAACTCTTACACGGCCATATGTCAGCCCTTATTTAAACACGTTTCCATTCATCTGACAGTGATAACACTCAACATACCATCGGCTGATAATTGAAGCTGTTGGAATCACTGAACACTAACAGTAATAGTTATTCTTAACTGTTGGTTTTTTAAAACATTTTTATTTTTATTTTTTTTTACTTCATCAAACATGGACACCAAAGGTAAGAATTAAATTGTTTCCATCCTCTGTCGACTGTAACATTGTGGGTTTATTCAAATGTGGTTGACATTTTCTTATCAGAAGTTAATAATAATTACAATACTTTTTGGACCAACGTGCTCCGAGTTTAGTCTATTCATGCAAGTGATGGAAGTAATCCTAACTGCTGTAGATCCGTTCTGGAATGTTTTACTGTATATTGCAGTTTACTACTAGATGATATATTGATGGTAGGCTAGTTGCTACTAATTGCGAAAACTGCTGCAGTTTTATTGCCTGGCTACCCAAACTCCTTGCTCCGGCCAAACGCCATGCCAAGCCCATGGAAGCTAACGCTGGCTACCCAAACTCCTTGCTCCGGCCAAACGCCATGCCAAGCCCATGGAAGCTAACGCTGGCTACCCAAACTCCTTGCTCCGGCCAAACGCCATGCCAAGCCCATGGAAGCTAACGCTGGCTACCCAAACTCCTTGCTCCGGCCAAACGCCATGCCAAGCCCATGGAAGCTAACGCTGGCTACCCAAACTCCTTGCTCCGGCCAAACGCCATGCCAAGCCCATGGAAGCTAACGCTGGCTACCCAAACTCCTTGCTCCGGCCAAACGCCATGCCAAGCCCATGGAAGCTAACGCTGGCTACCCAAACTCCTTGCTCCGGCCAAACGCCATGCCAAGCCCATGGAAGCTAACGCTGGCTACCCAAACTCCTTGCTCCGGCCAAACGCCATGCCAAGCCCATGGAAGCTAACGCTGGCTACCCAAAACTCCTTGCTCCGGCCAAACGCCATGCCAAGCCCATGGAAGCTAACGCTGGCTACCCAAACTCCTTGCTCCGGCCAAACGCCACATGCCAAGCCCATGGAAGCTAACGCTGGCTACCCAAACTCCTTGCTCGGCCAAACGCCATGCCAAGCCCATGGAAGCTAACGCTGGCTACCCAAACTGGCAACTCCTTGGCCCCAATCCTGGCCAAACGCCATGCCAAGCCCATGGAAGCTAACGCTGGCTACCCAAACTCCTTGCTCCGGCCAAACGCCATGCCAAGCCCATGGAAGCTAACGCTGGCTACCCAAACTCCTTGCTCCGGCCAAACGCCATGCCAAGCCCATGGAAGCTAACGCTGGCTACCCAAACTCCTTGCTCCGGCCAAACGCCATGCCAAGCCCATGGAAGCTAACGCTGGCTACCCAAACTCCTTGCTCCGGCCAAACGCCATGCCAAGCCCATGGAAGCTAACGCTGGCTACCCAAACTCCTTGCTCCGGCCAAACGCCATGCCAAGCCCATGGAAGCTAACGCTGGCTACCCAAACTCCTTGCTCCGGCCAAACGCCATGCCAAGCCCATGGAAGCTAACGCTGGCTACCCAAACTCCTTGCTCCGGCCAAACGCCATGCCAAGCCCATGGAAGCTAACGACAGAGCAGCAGAATAATTCCGTTTGAGTCATCAGGCAGTTATAGTGATGTATAAATGATTATAACCTGTGAGAAGTAGTTGTGATTGTTGTTATTTCCGGTTTATATTGCTTTTAGGTCTTTGTTGTTGTGGGGGTAGTATATGGCAGTAATTGACATGACAAACATTTTAATTGAGTTGACATTCATTACAAAAAAAGTGATTGATTTCTACAATATTTTGTTCCAGTGATTTTGAGTTATGCTATAGTAACACTACAGTAGCAAACTCAGGTTACCACACCCTCTGCTCTACAATAGCTTTAAAATAGAATAGCATAGAATGGCATAGCATAGAATAGAATAGAATAACATAGAATAGAATAGCATAGACTAGCATAGAATAACATAGAATAGCATAGCATAGACTAGCATAGAATAACATAGCATAGCATAGCATAGAATAGCATAGAATAGCATAGAATAACATAGCATAGAATAGCATAGCATAGAATAACATAGCATAGCAATAGCATAAATATATAGAATAAACATATCATAAACATAGCATAATTGAATAGCATAGAATGAATACATAGATATAGCATAGCTAGATAGAATAACATAGAATAAATAGAATAGAATAGAATACATAGAAATAGATAATAGCATAGAATAGAAATAGAATAACACATAGAATAAATAATAGCATAGAATAGATAGAATAGCATAGCATAGAATAAATAGCATAGAATAGATTAACATAGCATAGAATAGCATAGCATAGAATAATAACATAGCATAGAATAGAATAGCATAGAATAGATAGCATAGAATTGAATAGCATAGAATAGAATAGCATAGAATATAGCATAGCATAGAATAGAATAGCATAGAATAGAATAACATAGAATATAATAGATAGCATAGAATAGAATAGAATAGCATAGAATAGAATAACATAGCATAGAATAGCATAGCATAGTATAGAATAGCATAGCATAGATAGCATAGCATAGCATAGAATATAATATAATATAATAATAGCATAGAATAGCATAGCTTGGAATAGCATAGCATAGCATAGAATAGCATAGAATAGAATAACATAGCATAGAATGGCATAGCATATAATAGCATAGCATAGCATAGAATAGAATAGAATAACATAGCATAGAATAGCATAGCATGGAATAGCATAGCATAGCATATAATAGCATAGACTAGAATAACATAGCATAGAATAGCATAGCATGGAATAGCATAGCATAGAATAGCATAGCATAGAATAATAGAATAGAATAGCATAGAATATAATATAATAACATAGCATAGAATAGCATAGCATAGCATAGCATATAATAGCATAGCATAGAATAGAATAACATAGCATAGCATGGAATAGCATAGCATAGCATAGAATAGCATAGCATGGAATAGAATAGCATAGAATAGAATGGCAATTCCTAGCAAAATAACACACAGACTGGGCACGTAAAACAAATATACAAATACAGTATGTTGTTGCTGCTGTTGTTGTTGTTGTGTATTTGTCCAGCAGTTTGCTTTAGTTCTTCTCTCCACTCTGAGTAAAGAGGAGTACGATGACTGAGTTCTGGAAGGAGCACAGCCGCCAGGCCACGGTTGAGGAGATGATGTTGGACTCTCATGCCCAGGAGCTGACCCAGCACGAGCTGCCTGAGATCCTCTCCCTGCTGCCCAGCCTGCCCGGCCAAAGGCTCCTGGAGCTGGGCGCTGGCATCGGGTCAGTGGGTCTATTGAACTGTATCCATAAAGCAACTGACCAGAGAGACCATGCATGCATGTACTGTGTCGTGATCTCTGTAGAGCCATGAGGATTAACTGACCATGTGACCTGACAGGGAAAATCTCCCTGGCCCTGGGCTATGATGGGGACCTGTGTTTTTCCTGGTCAGGTGATGTGGACTCTTGTCGGCAGTTGACAGTTGGCAGTTGACCCTCGCTGTCTGATGTGGAGGTGTTTGTTTGTTTGTGTGTTTGGTCTCTTCCAGGAGATACACCAGCCACCTGTTGACCCAGGCCAGTCACGTGACAGCGGTGGACTTCATGGAGAGCTTTGTGGAGAAGAACAGACAGGACAACAGTCACCATGGCAACGCCTCCTTCCTCCAGGCAGACGTCACCAAGCTGGACTTCCCCAAAAACAGGTCTGCTGTTTGATACGATGTGTATAATATAATATGATAATAATATATTATAAAACAGGTTTGAATAAGGTTGCAAAGCTACAGGTGGTTTACCACTGTTACCAGAATCTTCTGTAATTTTGGTAATGAACAGGTAATCTATGGCAATTTGGAAAAGTGTATTAATATATAGTATACATTTTTTATATCTGTGTCCATATTGTCCATGAGTTTCTAGTAGATAGACAATATGGTACAAGAGAAAATAGCCTAATTAATGAAAAAAGTATCTAATCAACAATGGCATTCATTTCAATTAACTCTGTAAATCTTCCTACTGTTGACTTGTTTCAGAACCTGCCACCAGTTTGGCCCCAAAACATTGACAACAAAGACATAGTGACATAGTAAAATAAATACAAGAGTGTGAAAAAAATATATACAGGATATTGAAACCCTCATATTAAACACCAATGGTATTCGATAATTTTATGGTTTATATTTAGGATAATGTTTTACAGCTTTGACATACTATTGTTTATTTTAAAATCGTCTTTATATTTTCCATGTGATTAAGGCCACACAGAGGGCCAGATATAATTACATAACACCTGTGATAATCTGAAGTACCCAAAAAGGCCACTAGATTACATCTTCTAAAATTCCATATATTTCTTGAAAGATACCAAAATTCTGGTAGTGTACTGATAAACTTTGTCACCCTAGGTCTGCATCTCTGTATAAAAGTTCTCTGTTGGGATGTTGGGTGTTTTGTTCACATAAAGCTATTAACATTGCGACTTTGGATTGATAAAGCGTAGTGAAACATGGTCAAAATCTTTTACAATGTTTTTTTTTTTTTTTTTTTACACTGGTTTGACGAGATGTCTCACCTTAGCTTTGGTGACAGGGTTGTGTTGGTTCTACCAGTGTGTTTTTGTTTTTTATACCAGTGGGTTGGTGATTGTATACCAGTGTTGGTGTGGTATGCCAGTGGGTTGGTGTGGTATGCCAGTGGGTTGGTGTTGGTATCCCAGGGGTTGGTGTGGTATGCCAGTGGATTGGTGTTGGTATGCCAGTGGGTTGGTGTGGTATACCAGTGGGTTGGTGTTGGTATGCCAGTGGGTTGGTGTTGGTATGCCAGTGGGTTGGTGTTGGTATACCAGTGGTTTGGGTTTGGATTGGTGTTGGTATACCATGGGTTGTGTTGGTATCCAGTGGTTGGTGTTGGTATGCCAGTGGGTTGGTGTTGTATACCGTTTGGTTGGTGTTGGTATACCAGTGGGTTGGTGTGGTATACCAGGGGTTGGTGTTGGTATACCAGGGGTTGGTGTTGGTATACCAGTGGGTTGGGTTGGTATACAGTGGGTTGGTGTTGGTATACCAGGGTTTGTGTTGGTTACAGGGGTTGTGTTGGTATACCGTGGGTTGGGTTGATCCATGGGTTGGTGTTGGTATACCAGGGGTGGTGTTGGTATACCATGGTTGGTGTTGGTATCCAGTGGGTTGTTTGGTTACCAGTGGGTGGTGTTGTATCAGTGGTGGTGTTGGTAACAGTGGGTGGTGTTGGTATCCAGTGGGTTGGTGTGGTATCCAGTGGTTGGTGTTGGTATCAGTGGGTTGGTGTTGGTATCAGTGGGTTGTTTGGATACAGTGGGTGTGTGGTTACCAGTGGGTTGGTGTTGTATCAGTGGGTTGGTGTGTATACCAGTGGTTGGTGTTGGTATACCAGGGGTTGTTTGGTATACCAGGGGTTGTGTTGTATACCAGTGGGTTGTGTTGGTAACCAGTGGGTTGGTGTTGGTATACCAGTGGGTTGGTGTGGATACCAGTGGGTTGGTGTTGGTATAAGTGGTTTGGTGTTGGTATCCAGTGGGTTGGTGTTGGTATACCAGTGGGTTGGTTGGTATACAGTGGGTTGGTGTTGGTATACAGTGGGTGGTGTTGTATACCAGGGGTGGTGTTGGTATACCAGTGGTTGGTGTTGGTATCAGTGGGTTGGTGTTGGTATACAGTGGGTTTGTTGGTATACAGTGGGTTGGTGTTGGTTACCAGTGGGTTGGTGTTGGTATCCAGTGGGTTGGTGTTGGTATACCAGTGGGTTGGTGTTGGTATACAAGTGGGTTGGGTTGGTATCCAGTGGGTTGGGTTGGTATACCAGTGGGTTGGTGTTGGTATACCAGTGGGTTGGTGTTGGTATACCAGTGGGTTGGTGTTGGTATACAGTGGGTTGGTGTTGGTATACAGTGGGTTGGTGTTGGTATACCAGTGGGTTGGTGTTGGTATACCAGTGGGTTGGTGTTGGTATACCAGTGGGTTGGTTGTTGGTATACAGTGGGTTGGTGTGGTATACCAGTGGTTGTGTTGGTATACCAGTGGGTTGGTGTTGGTTATACCAGTGGGTTGGTGTTGGATACCAGTGGGTTGGTGTTGGTATACCAGTGGGTTGGTGTTGGTATACCAGTGGGTTGGTGTTGGTATACCAGTGGGTTGGTGTTGGTATCCAGTGGGTTGGTGTTGGTATACCAGTGGTTGGTGTTGGTATCCAGTGGGTTGGTGTTGGTATACCAGTGGGTTGGTGTTGGTATACCAGTGGGGTTGGTGTTGGTATCCAGTGGGTTGGTGTTGGTATACCAGTGGGTTGGTGTTGGTATACCAGTGGGTTGGTGTTGGTATACAGTGGGTTGGTGTTGGTAACCAGTGGGTTGGTGTTGGTATACCAGTGGGTTGGTGTTGGTATCCAGTGGGTTGGTGTTGGTATACCAGTGGGTTGGTGTTGGTATACCAGTGGTTGGTGTTGGTATACCAGTGGGTTGGTGTTGGTATACCAGTGGGTTGGTGTGGTATACCAGTGGGTTGGTGTTGGTATCCAGTGGGTTGGTGTTGGTATACCAGTGGGTTGGTGTTGGTATACCAGTGGGTTGGTGTTGGTATGCCAGTGGGTTGGTGTGGTATACCAGTGGGTTGGTGTTGGTATACCAGTGGGTTGGTGTTGGTATACCAGTGGGTTGATGTTGGTATACCAGTGGGTTTGGTGTTGGTATACCAGTGGGTTGGTGTTGGTATACCAGTGGGTTGGTGTTGGTATACCAGTGGGTTGGTGTTGGTATACCAGTGGGTTGGTGTTGGTATACCAGTGGGTTGGTGTTGGTATACCAGTGGGTTGGTGTTGGTATACCAGTGGGTTGGTGTTGGTATACCAGTGGGTTTGGGTTGTTGGTATACCAGTGGGTTGGTGTGGTATACCAGTGGGTTGGTGTTGGTATGCCAGTGGTTGGTGTTGGTATACCAGTGGGTTGGTGTTGGTATACCAGTGGGTTGGTGTTGGTATGCCAGTGGGTTGGTGTTGGTATACCAGTGGGTTGGTGTTGGTATACCAGTGGGTTGGTGTTGGTATACCAGTGGGTTGGTGTTGGTATACAGTGGGTTGGTGTTGGTTATACCAGTGGGTGGTGGTATGTGTGTTGGATACCAGTGGGTTGTGTTGGTTTGGTGTGTGGTACAGTGGGTTGGTGTTGGTATGCCAGTGGGTTGGTGTTGGTATGCCAGTGGGTGGTGTTGGTATCCAGGGGTTGGTGTTGGTATCCGTGGGTGGTGTGGTATGCAGTGGGTTGGTGTTGGTATCCAGTGGGTTGGTGTTGGTATGCCAGTGGGTTTGTGTTGGTATACCAGTGGGTTGGTGTTGGTATGCCAGTGGGTTGGTGTTGGTATGCCAGTGGGTTGGTGTTGGTATGCCAGTGGGTTGGTGTTGGTATGCCAGTGGGTTGGTGTTGGTATGCCAGTGGGTTGGTGTTGGTATACCAGTGGGTTGGTGTTGGTATGCCAGTGGGTTGGTGTTGGTATACCAGTGGGTTGGTGTTGGTATACCAGTGGGTTGGTGTTGGTATACCAGTGGGTTGGTGTTGGTATGCCAGTGGGTTGGTGTTTGGATACCAGTGGGTTGGGTGTTGGTATACCAGTGGGTTGGTGTTGGTATACCAGTGGGTTGGTGTTGGTATACCAGTGGGTTGGTGTTGGTATCCAGTGGGTTGGTGTTGGTATACCAGTGGGTTGGTGTTGGTATACCAGTGGGTTGGGTGTTGGTATGCCAGTGGGTTGGTGTTGGTATACCAGTGGGTTGGTGTTGGTATACCAGTGGGTTGGTGTTGGTAGGCCAGTGGGTTGGTGTTGGTATACCAGTGGGTTGGTGTTGGTATACCAGTGGGTTGGTGTTGGTATGCCAGTGGGTTGGTGTTGGTATACCAGTGGGTTGGTGTTGGTATACCAGTGGGTTGGTGTTGGTATACCAGTGGGTTGGTGTTGGTATCAGTGGGTTGGTGTTGGTATGCCAGTGGGTTGGTGTTGGTATGCCAGTGGGTTGGTGTTGGTATACCAGTGGGTTGGTGTTGGTATACCAGTGGGTTGGTGTTGGTATACCAGTGGGTTGGTGTTGGTATGCCAGTGGGTTGGTGTTGGTATACCAGTGGGTTGGTGTTGGTATACCAGTGGGTTGGTGTTGGTATCCAGTGGGTTGGGTGTTGGTGGTATACCAGTGGGTTGGTGTTGGTATAACCAGTGGGTTGGTGTTGGTATACCAGTGGGTTGGTGTTGGTATGCCAGTGGGTTGGTGTTGGTATACCAGTGGGTTGGTGCTGGTATACCAGTGGGTTGGTGTTGGTATACCAGTGGGTTGGTGTTGGTATGCCAGTGGGTTGGTGTTGGTATACCAGTTTGGGTTTTTCCGGTTGTGGTATACCAGTGGGTTGGTGTGTGGTATACCAGTGGGTTGGTGTTGGTATGCCAGTGGGTTGGTGTTGGTATACCAGTGGGTTGGTGTGGTATACAGTGGGTTGGTGTTGGTATACAGTGGGTTGGTTTGTTGGTATGCCAGTGGGTTGGTGTTGGTATACCAGTGGGTTGGTGTTGGTATACCAGTGGGTTGTCGTGTGTGTTGGTATGACCAGTGGGTTGGTGTTGGTATGCCAGTGGGTTGGTGTTGGTATACCAGTGGGTTGGTTGTTTGGTATACCAGTGGTTTGGTGTTGGTATACCAGTGGGTTGGTGTTGGTATGCCAGTGGGTTGGTGTGGTATACCAGTGGGTTGGTGTTGGTATGCCAGTGGGTTGGTGTTGGTAAGCAGTGGTTGGTGTTGGTATACCAGTGGGTTGGTGTTGGTATACCAGTGGGTTGGTGTTGGTATACCAGTGGGTTGGTGTTGGTAAACCAGTGGGTTGGTGTTGGTATACCAGTGGGTTGGTGTTGGGTATGCCAGTGGGTTGGGTGTTGGTATGCCAGTGGGTTGGTTGTGGTATACCAGTGGGTTGGTGTTGGTATACCAGTGGGTTGGTGTTGGTATACCAGTGGGGTTGGTGTTGGTATACCAGTGGGTTGGTGTTGGTATACCAGTGGGTTGGTTGTTGGTATGCCAGTGGGTTGGTGTTGGTATACCAGTGGTTGGTGTTGGTATACCAGTGGGTTGGTGTTGGTATACCAGTGGATTGGTGTTGGTATACCAGTGGGTTGGTGTTGGTATACAGTGGGTTGGTGTTGGTATACCAGTGTTTGGTTTTGGTATGCCAGTGGGTTGGTGTTGGTATACCAGTGGGTTGGTGTTGGTATACCAGTGGGTTGGTGGTGTGGTATACCAGTGGGTTGGTTGTTGGTATGCCAGTGGGTTGGTGTTGGTAACCAGTGGGTTGGTTGGTATACCAGTGGGTTGGTGTTGGTATACCAGTGGGTTGGTGTTGGTATACCAGTGGGTTGGTGTTGGTATACCAGTGGGTTGGTGTTGGTATACCAGTGGGTGGTGTTGGTATACCAGTGGGTGGTGTTGGTATACCAGTGGGTTGGTGTTGGTATACCAGTGGGTTGGTGTTGGTATCCAGTGGGTTGGTGTTGGTATACCAGTTGGGTTGGGTGTTGGTATACCATTGTTGGTGTTGGTATACCAGTGGGTTGGTGTTGGTATACCAGTGGGTTGGTGTTGGGTATACCACTATTTCAACACTCTTAATAAGGTCAGGCCAGGCCATATTTTGGAGACTCTCAACTACTCAATTAATCTCTTTGAACTGAACACACTAATATGAGGTAACACTTTTTCTCCGTCCCAAATAGCACCCTATTTCCCTACATAGTACACTACTGTTGACCATAGGGAGCCTATATCTCTGCCCATAGGGCTCTGGTCAAAAGTAGTGTGCTATGTAGGGAACAGGGTGCCATAGCGCTCTGATCAAATGTAGTGCACTATGTAGAGAACAGGGTGCCATAGAGCTCTGGGGTAAAGTAGTGCACTATGTAGGGAACAGGGTGCCATAGAGCTCTGGTCTAAAGTAGTGTACTATGTAGGGAACAGGGTGCCATAGGGCTCTGGTCAAATGCAGTGCACTATGTAGGGAACAGGGTGCCATAGGGCTCTTGTCAAAAGTAGTGCACTATGTAGGGAACAGGGTGCCATAGAGCTCTGGTCTAAAGTAGTGCACTATGTAGGGAATAGGGTGCCATTTGGGACGGAGCCTTTGCCTAAAGCCGATAGGTATAATGCATTACTACTTGTTCTAAACTTTTGTTTGCCTTTTATAGCGTCCTATTATCAGGCTTATGATGTTATTCTGATGTGTATCCCCCCATCAGTTTCGACATCATCTTCTCCAACTGGCTCCTGATGTATCTGAGTGACGAGGAGCTGAGGTCACTAACAGAGAGGATGCTGGGATGGCTCCGCCCCGGAGGATACCTGTTCTTTAGGGAGTCCTGCCACCACCAATCAGGTACAAGTTTTAATATCACCTGAATATCTATTGTCACTCTTCCAGTCTAATGAATCCCTAGACCCTACTAAGAGGTTCCAGTCTATTGATTCCTATTTGACCTTTAACCCCACACAATACATCTCTCTATCTCCTTCTCTCTCTCTCTCTCTCTTCTCTCTCTCTCTCTCTCTCTCTCCTCTCTCTCTCTCTCTCTCTCTCTGTCCAGGTGACCGTAAGAGGACCTTTAACCCCACACACTACAGATCGTCGGCCCACTACAGTCAGTTGATGACAACAACACTGTGGGAGGAGTCAGAGGGGGCGGAGAAGCAGGTGTTTGGCTTTGACATCGTGCTCAATAAAACCGTGCAGACATACATCAAGGTAGGTTGCTTTATTGCTACTGATTGTGTTATGTCTCAATTAATATAATGTGTGTAAATACATTTTAATGGCCCTGTCAGGCTTTTTGCTGTAGCCTACTGTGTGTGTGTGTGTGTATGGCATATTACTCCCCCTATATATTCATGTCTCTTCCCCTCCTCAGATGAAGAACAACCAGAACCAGGTGTGTTGGCTACTGGAGAAGGTGGGTCGGGACACTTCCTGTCAGGAGGGCTTCAGAACCTTCCAGCAGTTCCTGGACAACCAGCAGTACACACGCAACGGCATCCTGCGATACGAGAAGATGTTTGGGACAGGATACGTCAGCACTGGGGGACCCAGCACAACCAAGGTGGGTTTGAGTTTTGGGAGTCCTGCACACATACACACACAAAGCCAACATAGGTTTGGGACATCAAGACCCAGAGCAGAAATATTTTTTTTTCTCCTATGGACAGATGGACATATGAACCACGACAGTTGAATAAAAATGACTGAAACATGAAAGGACAACATACTGGAGAGGTTATGTAGTTACTGTTTGGACAGGGTTACACAGACTGCTGAAACATGAGAGAGAGGTTATGTAGTTACTGTTTGGACAGGGTTACACAGACTGCTGAAACATGAGAGAGGGTTATGTAGTTACTGTTTAGAAAAGGGGTTTACACAGGGACTGCTGAAACATGAGAGAGAGGTTATGTAGTTACTGTTTAGACGGTTACACAGACTGCTGAAACATGAGAGAGAGGGGTTTTTGTAGTTACGTTTTGGGCAAAGGGGTTTCACAGATGCGAAAAAATGAGAGAGAGGTTTTTTATGGGGGAGATTACTGTTTTTTTTTTTTTTTTTTTTTGGACAGGGTTACACAGACTGCTGAAACATGAGAGAGAGGTTATGTAGTTACTGTTTAGACAGGGTTACACAGATGCTGAACAGAAGAGAGGAGGTTTGAATGATTTCCCTAAAGAACGTAAACCTTTTGGGAAAATTCAAAAAAAACAGGTTTTTCTTATTTGAAAAGTTTTGAAATAAAAATTTTAAAAGAAAAATATTTTAAATAAAAAGGTTTAAAAAAGGTTTTCAATTCAGGGGGTTTTACCCTGTGAACCAGAACCGGAAATTTTGGAAAAGGAAAAAAAGGAATTAGGGGCAATTTAAAAGGGTGTAAAAAAATATATATACCTTTTTAAAATCTTTCCCCATTATTCATAAGTTTTTTTTATTTTTGGGAATTATTTTTAAAAAGCGAAATACCAAATTTTTAAAAAAAAAAGTTTTTAATTTTTTTTTTCAACGGGGGGGCCAATTTTTTAAAATTAAACCGGGAAAATCTTAAAAAAACCGTTTACATTTTCAAAATTTCCAAATTTTTAAAAAGGGGGGCCCCCAAACTTTGAACAAAAACCCTTGTGAAAATGGGTCTTCCGGTTGAAAAAAATTCTTTTAAGGGGTTTTTGCCCCTTTAAACATTAAACACAAAAAAAAAAAAAATTTTATTCGTTTTTTTTTTTTTTAAATGGTTTTTTAGGATTTTTTTAACCCAGTTTTGGGGACTCTTTTGGGGTTTATTTTTAAATCCGTTTATTTTTAACCATGGTTTTGGGACCGGGGGGCCGGGGGTATAATTTTCCTTAACCCCCTGGGGGGATAATCGGGGGTTTTAAAAAAGGGGGGTTTTTTGTTGGTTTAAACCATTTTTTTGGGGATACCAAAATTTGGTTTTTGGGTTAATTTTCCCCCGGGGGGTTTTGGGTTTGGGTATAAAATTTCCCGTTGGGGGGTTGGGGGGGTTTTTTTTTAAATAAAGGGGGGGCCCTTTAAAACCAGGGGGTTTGGGGGGGTAAAGGGGGTTTGGGGGGAAAGGGCCAAAATCTTTTTACTCCGGGGGGTTTTTTTTTTTTTTTTTTTTTTAACCGGGGTTCGGGGGGTTCCATTTTTGGGGGGGTTTGGTATACCAGGGGTTTTGGGGGTTGGGTTATCCCAAGTGGGTTGGTTTGGTAAAACCTGGGTTTTGGTTTGTTGGTATGCCAGGGGGTTGGGGGTTGGTATCCAGTGGGTTGGTGTTGGTTCCAGTGGGTTTTGGTGTTGGTATCCCAGGGGGTTTGGTTTTGTTGGTTTTCCAGTGGGGGTGGGGGTTTTTATACCAGTGGGGGGGTTTTGTGTATACCGGGGGGGTTTTGGGGGTTTGTATCAGGGGGTTTTGGGTTGGTATCCAGTGGGTTGGGTGTTGGTATCCGGGTTTTTTGGGTGTTTTATAAAGGGGTTTGGGGGGTTTTTGGGATCCCATTTTTTTGGGTTTTTTGGTTTAGGCCAGTGGGTTGGTTTTTGGAAAACCCAGGGGGTTTGGGTTTGGGGGTTTGGGGGTTGGGTTTTATCCATTTTTTGGGTTTTTGGTACTGCCAGGGGGTTTTGGTTTTGGGTATCCGTGGGTTGGTTTTTGGTATCCAGGGGGTTTGGTTTTGGGTTTATAAAAGTGGGTTTTTTGGTTGGATGCCAGGGGGGTTGGTGTTGGTAACCATTTTTTTGGTTTTGTTGGATCCGGGGTGGGTTGGTTTGGGTTTATACCAGTGGGTTGGGTTTTTGGGTTGGGGGGATGCCATTGGGTTGGTGTTTGGTATACCAGGGGTTTTGGGTGTTGGTATCCAGGGGGGTTGGTGTTGGTATCCCCTTTTGGTTTTGGTTTTGGGGAACCCAGGGGGTTGGTTTTGGTTTTAAAAACCCAGTGGTTTGGTGTTGGTTCCAGGGGGTTTTGGGTGTTGGTATCCGGGGGGTTTGGGGTGTTGGAAATCCAGGGGGTTTTTTGGTGTGGAAATCCATTTTTTGGGTTTTGGGGTAGCCGGGTTGGTTGTTGGTATCCCAGGGGTTTTGGTTTTTGGTATCCCCGGGGGTTGGTGTTGGTTACCAGTTTTTTTTGGGTTTTGGGGAAACCCATTTGGGTTTTGGTGTTGGTTATCCCAAGGGGGTTGGTTTGGTTTTTCCAGTGGGTTGGGGTTTTTTTACCAAGTGGGTTTGGTTTTTTGGTATGCCAGTGGGTTGGTTTTGGGTATCCCAGGGGGTGGTGTTGGTAAACCCAGTGGGTTGGTTTTGGTATCCCAGGGGGTTTTGGTTTTGGTTTTTTCCGGGTGGGTTGGTTTTGGTATCCCATTGGGTTTTGGGTTTTTGGTACCAAAGGGGGTTTGGGGTTTTGGGGGTTACCCAGTGGGTTTTTGGGGTTTGGTATCCATTTGGGTTTTGGTTTTGGTACCCCAAAGGGGGTTTTGGGGTTTTGGGTTTAAAACCAGGGGGTTGGTTTTGGGATCCAGGGGGTTTTGGTTTTTGGTATCGGGGGGTTGGGTTTGTTGGTATCCCAGTGGGTTGGTGGTTTGGAATCCCAAAGTGGGTTTGGTGTTTTTAAACCAGGGGGTTTGGGTGTTTGGGTTAAAACCATTTTTTAACCAGTGGGTTGGGGGGTTTGGTTAAAATGGGTTGGGGTTTTTGGGTATAAAAGTGGTTGGGGTTGGTAACCCAGGGGTTTGGTGTTGTATCCATTTGGGGTTGGTGGGGGTTATCCAAGGGTTGGTTTTGGTATCCAGGGGGTTGGTTTTGGGTAACCAGTGGGTGGGGGGTTTTTTATCCCAAGGGGGTTGGTTTTTTGGGTTTTATACCAGGGGGTTTTGGTTTTGGGAAATGCCAGGGGGGGTTTGGTGGGGGGTTTATGCCAGGGGGGGGGGTTGGGGTTTTTATCCCCGGGGGGTTGGGTTTGTTGGTTTTCCCAGGGGGTTTTGGTGTTGGTATCCCCAGGGGGTTTGGTTTTGGGTTTTTTTCCATGGGTTGGTTTTGGTTTTGCCAGTGGGTTGGTGTTGGATCCCAGGGGGTTGGGGTTTTTATACCATGGGTTGGTGTTGGAATCCCAATGGGTTGGTTTTGGGTTTTATCCTTTGGGGTTGGGTTTGGTATGCCAGGGGGTTTGGTTTGGTATAACCAGGGGGTTGGTGTTGGGTTTTACCAGGGGGGTTGGGTTGGTTATCCAGGGGTTGTTTGGTCCCCCATTGGGTTGGTGTTTTTATACCATTGGGTTGGTGTTGGTATACCAGTGGGTTGGTTTTTTTGGTATACCCAGGGGGTTTGGGGTGTTGGTAGCCAGGGGTTGGGTTGGTAAAACCAGGGGGTTGGTTTTGGTATCCAGGGGGTTTGGGGGTTTGGTATCCCAGGGGGTTTGGTTTTTGGTTACCAGGGGGTTTGGGGTGTTGGTATCCAGTGGGTTTGGGTTTTGGGTTATGCCGTGGGTTGGTGTGGTGGGAAAAAGTGGGTTGGTTTTGGGTTTTAATCCCGGGGTTTTGGGTTTTTGGTATACCAGGGGGTTGGTGTTGGTATACCAGGGGGTTGGGTTGGTATGAAAGTGGGTTGGGGGTTGGTTACCAGGGGTTTTGGTTTTGGTATCCCAAGGGGGTTTGGTTTTGGGATAACCAGGGGGTTGGGTGTTGGTTATCCCAAGTTGGGGGGTTGGTTTGGGTTTTTATGCCAGGGGGTTGGTTTTTGGTATCCAGGGGGTTTGGTTTTGGGTTTATCCCAGGGGGTTGGTTTTGGGAAATGCCAGGGGGTTTTGGGGTTTGGTTGGTTAAAAACCAGTGGGTTTTGGGTTTGGGAATACCAGGGGGTTTTGGTTTTGGTTTTCCCCATTTTTTGGGGTTTTGGTATCCCAGTGGGTTGGTTTTTTTACCCTTTTTGGTTTGGGTTTTTTACCTTTTTGGTTTTGTTTTTGGTATACCAGTGGGTTGGTGTTTTGGATCCAGTTTGGGTTTTGGGTGTTGGTAAAACCCGGGGTTGGTGTTGGTATAACAGTGGGTTTGGTTTTGGTTTATCCGGGGGTTTTGGTTTGTTTTTTTATACCAGGGGGTTTGGGTGTTGGTATACCAGGGGGTTTTGGTGGGTTTTGGGTTAAAAGGGGGTTGGTGTTGGTATCCAGGGGGTTTGGTTTGGTTTTTCCGTTTTGGGGGTTTGGGGGTTGGGGGGATCCCGGGGGGGTTTGGGTTTTGGTTTGGTAAAACCAGGGGGTTGGTGTTGGGGTATCCCGGGGGTTTGGGGGTTGGTTTTTAAAATTTGGGGTTTGGTTTTTGGACCCTAAGGGGGTTTTTGGTGTTTGGCCCCCCCCCCCCCCCGTTTGGGGGTTGGGAACCCAGGGGTTTGGGTATGCCAAAAGGGTTGGGTTTTGGGGCCCCCCCGGGGGTTTTAGGGTTCCCCCCATTGGGGGTGGGAGGGGGGTTGGGTTTGTGTTGGTTCCCCCCCCATGGGTTTGGGTTTTCCCCCAGGGGGTTTGGGTTTTGTGGTTCCCCCCTTTTTTGGTATCCCCTGGGTTTTGGGTGGGGGGGAAAACCAGTGGGGGGGGTTGGTGTTGGCCCCCCCCTTTCAGGGGTTTGGTTTTGGTATCCGGGGGGTTTTGGGTTTTTTGGGTATACCGGGTTTTGGGGGGGGGGGTAACCCAAGGGTTGGGGGGGTTTTTTTGGGGGGGGGAACCAGGGGGGGGGGGGGGTAAACCAGGGGGGAAGGAACCCGGGTTTTTGGGTTTGGTAATCCCAAATTTTTTGGTTGGGAAAACCCCCAAATTTTGGTGGGAAAGGGTTTTTTTTGTAACCCATGGTTTGGTTTTAAAACCGGGGGGTTGGGTTATTGCCATGGGTGGGTTGGTAACCCAAGGGTTTTTTACCCGGGGGTTGGTTTTGGGAAACCCAGTTTGGTTTTATCCTTCATTGGTTTGGGTTCCCCAAAGTGGGGTGTGGAGCCAGGGTTTGGGTTACCCCCCCGGGGTTTGGGTTTGGTTCCATTTTGGGTTTTTTGGTATGCCGGGGGGGTTTTTTTTTGGGTTTAAAAACCCTTGGTTTTGGTTTTGGAAACCCAGGG